GACTTCTGTTCATTTGACCTAAATGGAATTGTTACCCCAGTGTAAAGGAGAGTGGCAGTGGGCTGACAATGATGTTCTCCCCCACTCTCCTTCATTGCACTTGCATTGACTCAGCAATGCTCTCAAATGAGCAGGATTATTTTTGACCTTGTGATGGGATTTTTATTAAAGTTTCAGTGCTCTGGGCTGTGTCATGGATGCAAATTGCACATGTGCAAAAGTTCCTTAGCTGCCTCCCAAGATGAGAAGTAGAACGTCAACCCCCTCAGGTGTATATATATCAGTGTCTGCAGCCTTGGGAACCAACAGGAGGAACTGGAGCTCCATGCCCAATCAGAAAGTTATGATATCATAGGAATAACTTAAACATGGGGGGACAACTGGCATGCATGAAGCATTGTGATAGATGGTTATAGGCTCTTTCGGAAAGACAGGCAGGAAAGAAGAGGAGGAAGAGTCACACTCTTAAGTTAAAGAGAACCTTGAATATTATAGAAGTCAACTACAGATGATGGAAGCTCTGTCTAATGACTGGCTCAAGATGAAAGGTGTCATCTCCAAGGAAGATCTTACAGTAGGCATCTGCTACTGACCTCCAAACCAGGGCGATAAGGCCAATGAAACAGTATCTGTGTGGCTTAAGCAAGCTTAACCAAATCAATAGAATGGGTGACTTCAACTACCCAAACAGTTATTGAAGAACAGTACAGCAGCTCACATATGATCTATCAAGTTTGTGGAATGTGCGAAGGACTGCTTTTTCATACATATGTCTAGTGGGTTGACCCTGGCCAAATACCAGATACCCACTAAAACCACTCTATCACCCTCCCTCGGCAAATGGACAGAGGAGAGAGAGGGAGGGAAAAAAAAAGCCAGCTAAGGATTCATGAGCAGAGATAAGAGCTGGGAGAGGTCACTTACTGATTACCTTCACAGGCAAAACAGACTCAAAGTGGGGATAGTACTTATATTTATTGCTAACAGGTCAAGAGCCAAAGAGTGAGAAATAAAACAGTCTCAAAAATACCTTTCCCCCAATCCTCCTTCCTTCCTTGTTCTCCCTCCTCCCCCCCAGTGGTGCAGGGGGATGGGGAATGGGGGTTATGGTCAGTTGTTGTTTTTGCTAATGTTCAGGGAGAGGAGTCCTTCCCCTGCTTCCATGGGGTCCCTCCCACAGGAGACAGTCCTTGATGGACCTCTCTGGCATGAGTCCATCCCTCAGGCAGCAGTTCTTCCCAAACTCCTGTCCCGTGGATCACTTCTCCATGGGGTGCAGTCCTTCACAAATGAGCTGTACCGATATGGGTCCCCCACAGGGCCACAAGTCCTACCCAGGAAAAACCTACTCCAGGGTGGGCTTCCCTCTCCACAGGCTGCAGGTCTCTGGCAGGACACTGCTCCATCTTGGGCCTCCCATGGGGTAACAACCTCCTTCATGCATCCGCCTGCTCCAGCATGGGATCCTCCATGGGCCATCTTGTCTAGACTATGCTTTTGCCCAGAAAAGTTGGACCAGATGATTCTTGAGGTTCCCTCAAACCTGGTATTCTATGATTCTGTGATTCTATGCACAGTGGCTCTGTGTCTGTATTTACTTTATCTGGACAAATGAATTGGAAAAAACAAACAGAAGCATAAACAAACAAAACAAACAAAACAAAAACCCAAACAAACAAAAAACCCACCCAAACAACTGAATCACTCATCTGCTTCTAGAAGCAGAAGTCTTGTGTGACTTGGAAAAGGAGAGCAGCTCATCAGAATCGTAACTCCTTGAAAGATTTTAGGCAGGCTGCTCTGTTTTTTGTTATGCCATGAGTTGTTTAACCAGTTTGTCAGATAGCAATTTGATGTGAAATGCTATTAGCATTTCACAAACACAATCAGCTAAGCAATTGAGCTTATCCCAGATGTGATTAAGTGAGATCAATTATAGTAAGATCTAGATAAGAGAGGTAAGCTTCTTGTTTCTTGGGTTGGTATTCTGTAGTATTAGCTTTCGTAAGTATCCTTTATACATCATCAGCTGTAAAACCTTGATTACTACAGGAAATGGCTTCTAGACCAGCATTCAAATGAACATCATCCTAAACTGATTATTCTAACACTGAAACTGCCATTGAGTGGGGAAAAAGTTTATTTGAAGCATCAATTGCACCAAATAGAAAAGTAACCATTGAAACCAATGTTTTGCAATGCAAGAAGCATGTCTGTTTCCAGTCTTAAATACAGTTAAATATTCTGACAGACAGCTCTTCGTGTCACAAGAAGGGAATAGCTGCCTTTAGCATCATGTTTTGCCATGGCACTATTCCTATAACACTTAAGGCTTAATTTGCTAAATATCAGAATTTATAGATGATTCCTGAAAATTTTGACATGAAGTTGCTCATCAGCAATATGTGAGAGACAAGTGCAGTCTCTCACATATTATATTATACAATATATATTATATTATATATATTATATATAATATATATAATATTATATAATATATAAAATATACATATTCTAGAAATAAGAAATATTCATATTTTTTTATCAGAAATGGAAAACTGGTAATATATGAAAAGAAGGGGCCATATGAACAAACAAAATACAAGAGAGGAATGTTGTGAAATAGTCCATGTCTAAATTGTAGAAAGAGAGATTTGCCCATATCTTTTAGCAAATATTTTTAACATTATTTTCAATTCTTTTGTGGCTTCTGGTTCTTGCAATGGAGCTCCAAGGAGGCAATTTTTTTGTGATAGAGAAAGACTAAATAACATGAGTCTACCAAAACTATATGCAGGATGCATATACTGCCAGAACAGTTGCACTGTTCTGGAGCATAAGGTTTGACCAAACCCCCAAGCATGGTTCATACATCTCTCCTATTGTATAGCAATGGATGTACTGTATTTCTCTGCTTAGTTAATAATCATATCTAATGAACAGAAATACAATTTTTGCCTCCCCTTTTACTATAGGTAAGATTTGGAGGTCTTTGACAATCTAGGCTGGCACCTTTGTTGCCCTTTCAAGAGCTCTTCTACTTTGATAATGATAAGGTTGTTGAGGATTGTGCAGTCTTCTTGATGGGCTCAGCGCCAATGTCTCTGCTCTGGTCTGCTCTGCTCTCTGCTTTGCTGGCCATTGCAAGTAACTGAGCAGGGCAGGTCAATTCTCCCTCACGATCCTCTCTGTAATCTCTCCTGACAGACTTGTGGGACCACTGTGACATTTCCTGACAACCAGTGCAAGTTTTTAATGTTTTTCTGTATTTAATTTCAAATCAACTGTTAGCCTCTGCTATACCTTTTCTTCCTCCTCCTTTCAAATCTTTTATGGCTTTTTGGATAGAGTAATGCTTCCATCAGGTCCACGGGTCTCTGTAAAAATATTCCTGGTGGTAGGTCTCTTTCATCACAAGTGGTCATTTTACATTTTATCACTGACAATCTGTGAGATTTCTTCCCTGAAGTTCAGGAGCACTTGTTTATTGTTGGTGGGCAAGATGCAGAAATTCCTTGGATGGATTCTTTGGCCTATGCTATGCTAAAATATGTAAACGTGAGTGGTCTCTCTTGTGCTGTTCATCCCTGCACAATCCCACCACTTTTCTCTTATCACTCGACTTATAATTATTTGATGTGTCTGTTTTCTCTCATCACAGCTGAACATATTATCATATACAGACAATACTATTGCATTTTTTTTGGTCTGAACTTTTTAACCAAATATTTTGGAAGCTTTATATGTCTTACACCTGATGTCACTTGCAGTGTTTAAACTATTTGATAACTATAGAAAAATAAAATAGAAATAGGAAAAATTACGGTGGAAGCGAAAACTGTTATGCTCCTCTGTTGAAGTTTATTTTAGTAAAGAAAAAGCTTTTGAATTCTGAATTTTGACTTTCTGAATTTTGAATTTTTAATCTTTTACCTTTTTCACAATATATAATTAATTGTGTTGCCAAAAGCTTTTAATATGCATTATAAAAAATAATGCAGAAAAAAAAATTTTTCTGGTCTAAAATGTGTATGTAAAGTGTTTTATTCAAGAGTGCCTCTGTTTTGTTCTATCTTGTCCAGTCATTCTTCAATGTGGATATCATCAGAACTTTCTGAGAAAGGTACAAGGAACACCAGGTCCCTGTGAAGGGACCCTGTGAACTCTTCATGGTCAGAGTTTAAAATTAAACTTGAACCATGAGGTTTGGGGCTGTTCTTGTTGGGCTCATTTCCAACCATTAACTGTTACAATTTTGGAGGCAGCTCCTTCCTTCTTACAGACTTACTGTGATCTCAGGTTCAGTCTTACGTGGTAAGGAGCTCCATACAGTTCTGACTTCATCAGCTGTCCTCATTATTCTGTGTTCCTCTGTGTGGTGAAGCAAGATGAATGGTCACTCTTTAAAACTTCTCGTGGACTGTTGTGCACGCAAAGCCTAAATGGAATATATTTTGGCGCTTGATATGGTGTCCCTTCTGATCCTTTGAATGCTCTTGTGCACCACTTCCTGAATATAATCTCACCTTGTAGCTGCACCTTCCTCTCTTGAACTATGGCTGCAGTAGTTCAGAAAATCTGACAGTTTTGTTTCCATTTGGTGTTTCCTTTAAAAGATGATGGTAGGGAATGCAACTTTTCCCCGATGCTTGAATAGTGCTCTTGTTACAGGTCAGTTAAAAATTAATTTCCAGGAAGAGCACACAGAAGACATAACTGTTAAGCATTACTTTAAAAATCAAAACCCCACAAGTAGCCCATTTGGGGGAAATTGTAACTTTCTGTGCGCAAGCAACTTTTCGAATGAACCTCTATATCTTTGAAGAACGTAGTTTTGCTTCACAGGACCCTACAAGACTGCAAAATGAATCCCTAAGGGAGGAGTTCCCACTCTGCAACTTAGAGTCGCTGAATATAAAATAGTAGCTCTTAAAATAGACCTAAAGACTGTACCATAGCTACATGTTTTGTTTACTGTGCTCATTCATTCCATTCTTTAGGTTTGAAGACGGCACAGTCTCTTTTCTTGATATCATTGCTCTGAAACATGGATTTGATGTTCTGGAAAAACTTACAGGTCAGTTAATATAACTCTAACCCTGAAAACTGAAGTTACAGATTTATACACAGGGCACAGGTATGATCTATTTTGTTATGGCTGAGCTTAATTTTCATTTCTAGTTTTACTATCCACATTCATCATTGTGAAGAAGACTTCAGTGTAACTGAATTACTCCTCATATTGGATTATTCTAGCCCGGTTTAGAAAAAAAAAAAAACAAAACACATTATCCAGACTGTTCTGGATGTGTAAGACTTGAGTACATTGAGCACTTCTAGTCTGCCTCACACTCACAAAGATGCAATAGGAAAGTAATAGTAGAAAGTAGTGTGTGGCTGAAAGCCACTGAGTGTCTCGCACTGTTTGATATCTTTGAAGCCCTTAACATGTAGCTAATACTAAAGTCCCAAATAAAACTTTAGGCTGATCTTCGGGCCAGAACCTGTATGTGAAGAGCGACACTCATGCCTTGTTTACTTCAGGACAGCCTGCTGCTTGTCTGACTCAGCAGCCCAAACGTTTCTCTGTGTTTGCTGCCATGTGGCAGTGATTCTCCTGAAAACGGTAGGAGGTGACACCTGGCCAGGGAATCTTGCACCAATGGCTGTGCAGCAGGCTTGCATCATGGCATGTTTTTACATGTGGAATGTGCCAGCACGTTCCTGAATGTGTTTCAGACTCAGGTATGTGCGCACTTAGTGGGTGAAGTCTGAACCTCCCATTTCCAGTGAACTCTTTGATTTCCTATATAAAAGCATAAAGTGGATCGTGATGTAAAAGAGGTATGAGCCCAGAGAGACACTATGTACTTTTCCAGTTAGTATAATTTTAGCTAGTGTCTGTGGTTTATTGTCATGATTTATCTGAAGGATTTTAGTTTCTTCCTCACAGTGCAAGACTTCTGCGAGGAGTATTATGTTAGATTCTTCAGGTCCTATTCATGTGGAAATCAAGAGCAGTTTTCATCCACTTCAATAGGAGCCCCAATAAGTAAGGATGTTGCTCTACATGGAGACCAGGGATCAGAAAACAACCTTTAGTACATGTTCTTGTGGTATAGAATGCAGCTGAAAAATGTGCAATTTAAACAAGCACATTCCTTTGTGAAGTGGACATTGGTTTAATGTATAGGAGCATTGCCTGCCACAAATGTGAGAGCTGATGATAGCATCTCCTCTATTGCATTTCTCATCCATCTAAACCTCCTATTGGTACCTATTTCAGCTAAACAATTGAAAAATCTCTTAATACTATGTTGAGGGGAACACTTAGCACTGAACCTGAATAAACTGGATATCACTGGAGGACAGGGTAGAAGACAGGCATAAATAAATGGTATGTTGAGACCTTTCAGTTGCCAAAAGTGTGAATTTGGCTTCAAATTTTCATACTTATAATCCTTTCATAAAACATTGAAAAATATTTTAGGAATATTTCTCTTTTCAATTTAAAAATGTATTTTTTCCCACTGTTCTAAAATGTAGAAAAATAAGGAAAGATGAGAAAAATTTAGACAAGAAGAAACCTATATGGAGAAATTTGAAAAATTAAATAACAAATGGTTTGACAAATATTGGACTTTAAAACTTCAGCACTGCTAGTGTAGTCTGGTTACTTTTGTTGGTCAGATTCTGGAGTGCCACACTGAAAAAACAGAAGTAACAGCACTGCCTCTTTACAGCTACAAGAGACCAGAGTAACTTACAGACATCCACAGTGGAAGAAAAAAAATTAAATTCTGTAAAGGCTTTTAATCACCATATGATCCAAGAATTTCCCACAATGTCAGGCTAATACCACACCGTTATCCATGACCTAAGATGAGTTAAACTTGTGTTCCAGGTAAGTAGAAACTTTCAAAGTCTTCATGATAAAACTTATGTGATTATGCTTACATGTATGTGCATGTAAGTACATTTCCATGTGATGTGGGGTTTTTTTTATTAGAATTTAATCATACAGAAGGGAAATCAAACAAGCCCACAAAGGTGGTAGTAAAATGTGGTATGACTATGGCCATGTTTGGGGTTTTCCACCATAAAATGCATTTTGTGTGCTCACTATGTGAGGAGTGGCCGCGGTGCTGCAGCTTTCTCAACCCCGTCATGTCTCTTCTCTGGCCCTTCTCTGCTGGCTGTGAGACCAAGGCTGCAGGGGCCCTGCCATGTAGCACCACTGCCTACAAAGGGGTATGTGCTGTCCAAGGCAGTTTATTTGCCTATCCAAACATTTAGATCTTCAATTTGCATGGGAACTGAATATATCTGTGCCTGGCACAACTGATGCAACAAGAAATTCAGGGCTTTGCAGCTGCCATTTTCCCCTCACCATCCTTTTCCCCCATGGACATCACTGAGAACATGGACTTTTGCAGGTTATTTCATTTCTGTCAAAGACCCACCATTCCCTTTGAACAGAGATTGTTAGCATTTTTGTGTATACGACAGAGCTGTTGCCTGCTGTAGAAGCACTTTATAATCCAGATTTGCAGATTTGTTTTAAGCATCTTTACGAATATTTCTTCCACTTTACCTGTCAGAGTTTTCAGTGGCAAAATGCACTGTAAAATGTGAATCACTTCTGAATCTCACTTTGCTGTAGCTGCTGGAGCACTTGCTTTGCACTCCCTGAATGCAATGATTCTCATTCTGGGTTGGAAATAGTCTGGAGTAGAAATAAGCAAAATAAACAAAGTATTGTTGTTATTAATTCTGTCCTAATATGTCATAAAAACACTGCTGAAGTTTTTTTGGGATGTGCTGTGTCTGGATTATACCAATGTAATTACTAGAGATGGGGAGGGAGATCACTAATGGAAGGTAACTCAGAGTTTCAGTGTTAGGCAGTGTTGTGAAACATACAGATCTGTTTCTGAGTCCAATACCATCTGAATTGATCCCAGACTCATATCAACTTCCAGTTAACAATAAGATACATTTTATGCCAGAGTCGCATCATGATGTGTGTGTATTTAAACAGATTCAGAGGTCTTACATATATATGATTTTTAAACTTAACCTTAGCTGGTATGTAATTTTATGAGTAAATTTTCATCTGTTTTAAAAATAAAGCTAAGGCACATAATTTTCATTTAATTGTTGTAAGGTGCACGATAATTATAAGTCAGTTCAGGAAACATTAATTTTCTTCAGAAGGAAATATGCATTGGAAAAAAATTTTAAATGCAGACTGAGTCTCCTAAGGATGATAAATTGAAAGTTGTTTTTAAATTTGCCAGATGCTTGATTGGTTGTTGGAGAGTAAAGGTTATGTTGGCTTTCATAAAGGCAATTGTACCATACAAAGTGAAATATAGTGCAGGATGTTTTTCTAGCTTGGTCTTTGGAAATTTTGGTGTGTTTTACCATGTAATAATTTTTACTGTCCTCTGTTACATAAAAAGGCTGGTTGCACTCAGTGATAGGATGTTTAGCAGTCTGCATTTAGTGGTACTGCTCAGATTTTCTTGTCTGTTGTGTTTTAACACCTAGGGTTATGCAAGTCATCCAGTTTAGGGGCCAGAAGAAAAGTTTTCCTAAATCAGATTGGCAGAGATTACTGGGATTTCTTCTGTGTGGAGTTTGTGACTTCATCTTACCATTGTCTGGCCATGTCGCCTAAACTTTGACCATGGGTGTGGGGCCTGTGTAGTTTGCTGCTTTCATTCGTAATTTTAATGGATTTGGAGATTTCCCTTTAAAAGTCATAAGATTAAAAATTACATTAATACATGTGTTCTGGCGTGTGATATACAGGTGCGTTCAAAATGGATGCTTCATTTTGGCTGATGTTTAAGGAATTCTTCATTTCGGGGGGAAAATCTGCTCTTGCTTTAAGAGAGAGAAGGAATCATTGGTGAAATTTTTACCTTCTCTATGTCAGCCATTTGTGACAAGATATACTGGAGCATAAAACAAACATGGGCAATACTAATTGTACTAATATCTTCACCTCACTGCCTATAATTAACACCTTCTCCAACTGTGCTTGAGATTGTGTGTTGGGGGGGCATTCTAAGAAAAAGTGGTTGATTCGTTTACAGTAGCAAGAAGATGCTTCATCCACAATTTAAATAGGTAAATACAAACACACTAAGGAGAAGGCATTTTAATTTCTGGATCAGAAAGAAAAGTTTGACTTCTAAATGTGAAGGGAGTGCATAAGAGCTTCAAATCTAAAGGTATTCTGATTCCCAGATAGTGATACTACTGGTATGTAGAAAGACAAAATTCTCCTTTCATTGATAGTGAGATGAACTGTCGCTGGTGTTAAATTTCTGTGCCAAGATGAACTTGGTTTAGAGAACAAACAAGGATGTTATTTACTCACAGCTTAACAGCTCTTGCTGCTAGCATGTTATGTCAATCCAGGTTTTCCTAGCTTTCTTTTGTGACTTGACTAATGCAAACTAGGCATCATTTGTACCCTTGAAAGGAGAGCAGAACAGCTAAAACATGATTTGAGAAGCTTTGAAACAGTGAGTTGCCAGAAGAAATCCGGCCAAGGCTGCCTTTAAAGAGTTTAATCTGTATACAAGGTTTCTTTCTGAAAATTGCTTTTATGTTTTGGGCTTTTTAATAGTCACTTGCTAATATTGATGTGGATTGTGTTCACAAACGACCTAATCTGTGAAGAGGCCAAAATCTGTGAAAGAAAGAAAAAGGTCATTCCTCAGACCTCTAGAGATAACCCAGAAAAAGGCAGTACTCCACATTAATGTTTTGGGTGGTTTTTGTATAATATAGCTAGAGAGAAAATGTTTTCCTCAGGAAATAAAAGAAGGACAAGATATCTTTATTGTAAACTGAACTGATGAAGAAAAGGCACAGCACAACTAACAGAAAATACACCAATGGCAAGAGATAATTGTTATGTGTTCAGACAAAAGTTAACAAGACTTCTGTAGTAAAGGCATTTAGAGGCATCCAGTGTTATTACACGGGAAATTTTCAGCAGGGTCTTTTCAGTGCTTGGGAGATTTTGGAAAGAGGAGGCTGGAACAGCTAATAACGGAG